TGTCTGACCAACGCCAGTTCCTTTCCAACTCTAAGTAAGATAGTACATTGAGGTAGACGCTGATTACATGTGTGTATCACAATTCTCAGTTGACGACATTTCTCATTCTCATCCACATATTCACTTCATTTATATCATATTCTTTATCCTATGCAAAGATTCATGGTTGGTTTTATCGACACATTGGTTTATCTTTTCAAGACAAGCAAGAATACACCCAAAGACTAAACCACATTACTAAGAATGGGGATTTAGACGAGTTTAACAAAATAATTCTCACCTCATTAACTTGCTTTCTAACAGAAATATTTATATTATCCTTCACTTTCGTTCTGGTAACTTTTTCGAATTTAATCTTTTTACACTTATGGCGTGAATATTTGCCTATTAACATGACTTAAACAGCTTCCTTCTTTTTGCTTCTTTTGGTCTTTTTCTGGTACTCGTTTAGTGTTATTCAACGTTGCCTGACTTGGTTATCTTTCGTACAGTAATAGCTGGCTAAATTGTGTCACTATTGCAACAAGTTGCATGTTGGCCAGTAGTCATTTTTAGACGCAGAAGTTTTAAGTACATTTAATTTGACTACTTACAAAACGCTTCAGTAGCTTAACTCTTTCGACGTTTTTTTCATTTGGGCAGTCTTCAATAGTCATTCAGTTTTCTGAATGTACTATACTTTTTCGATATAATCTGCAATTTTCTTTGAATGTCAGTCAAGAAAACAAATTGTTCATATCTATCCACTGATATATTTGCTGTGATTTTGCATCTAATAGGTCAGTAGATTGGGAATGGTATGTTACTGTTAGAGTTGTCAGAATCGATATTCGTTATTAGAGGTTGTTTAGTTACCATGACCAGTTTAGTCATGGTAATCAGACTTTCTCATGTAATAGCGAGTTTTGTTTGGAACTGGATAAAACTTAAAATCGGATTAGGTGAACCGGTTAATTTCAATGTCAAGGTGTCGATTGTTTATGGGAATTATATTCAAAGATTTAGTGGTTGACCTCAACTTGTCATTTATCTCTGACTGACATTAGATAGATAATCATTAAAAATCTGACACCATCAGATGTGTCAATGAGAAATACTCATGACGCTGTTTCACACGGTACGCATTTATTTACAGACGTGCATAGGAGTTCGTCAATGATTTATGTTCAATGTCGCACAAACTCGAAGATCTACAGGCGGAAAACTAACAAGTTGATAGAAGAGGTAAGGCAGCGAGGACGGGGCATCAAGTGAACATAGAAAAGACAGAGGTGACCAAGACACTCAACCAACACCACCATCAACAACAACAACAACAAGCTACAATCACTATCAACAGGAGAAATGCAAAGGAAGTGGCATCTTTCAACTACCTAGATAGGCAGCATCGTTTCAACTACAGGTGGCATAGGCACAGACGAGGACGTCAAAGCCAGCCAAGGTCGGAAAGACAGCAAGACAGGCATTCATTAACCTGAAACCAGTGTGGAGATCTACTGCACTCAGCATAAAGCCTGAACAACATCCTTATTTTAAACACCAATTCAGTCAAGTCAGTGCTTCTATGTAGTGGTTGAGAGACTTGGCTCGTCACGAAAAGCACTTCCAACAAACTACAGATATTCATCAACAACTGCCACCTACACTGACTCAATACTGAAGATCACATCACAAGACCAGAAATAATAAGCAACAAGTGACTCTGGGAACGAACCAAACAACAACCTATCGCTCAACAAATAAATATGCAGAAGGAAGTGGAGATGGATTGGGCATGCATTGAGAAGACCATTCGAGGACATCACGCACCAGACCAGGCCGTAGTGTGAAAGCCAAAGGGGAAACGATGAATTGGGCTTGCTAGGTGAGGGTGACATGGAGGAGATGGTGTGAGGAAGAAATGAGAGCTTCTGGGGTGTCGTGTAGCCAGGTTCAAAAGATTGCAGAGAAGAGAGTGGAATGTAGACATGTTACTGAAGCTGTATTTTCCACTAGGAACCCAAGGGACAAATAAATAAATGATAGGTACATAAGAACAATATAACCAACGAACATTTGATTTCCCTTTTTAATACCAGGTTTATGAGTAATTTACATCGAATAATTCAGCTAAGAGTAGGGTAATGTTATCCCGATCAACTAAACCTAACCACCCATGCGGTGTTTAGATGATCATTTCGGTTTGATTGCTGAATCCTGAAGATTTATCTAGATAATATCTAACTACGTATTTTACCTAATAGTAGTATATTTGTTGTCACAAAACGTTTTTATCAGAGAAAACATCCTATGATGGTAGCTAGGTTGTTTTCAATGAAAGTTCTGTTCGGAACTAAGCAGGCTAGCTGTTAAGGTATTCATTTATAAAAATTATCAGGGTGGACTGAGTAATTTTGTAAGTGATTGGAAAAAAATTCTTAGTCATAAAGACCGTACTCTGTACGTTATTAATATCTTTTATATGAGATAATGCCTAACGTTGGGAATCGAAGTAATGAGAATGGGGTGAACAGTTAACTGTCAACATCAAATCAGATATAGCTCAGCCTCAGTTGAATGAAATTTACTAAATATAACATCATTTTGTAATTTTCTAATTATTTAAAAAGAATTTTTGTGGTATGAAAAAGAAACATTCGTCAAATAGGCTTAGCATCATCATCATCATTATCAACATAGGACCAGGCATTACTGCGTAACGGTCCGAGTTGCTACACCTCACGTCAGTTCATCAAGTAGAAAGGTAGTGACGTGAAGGATGAAGATAAATGAATGCAGTCAAAAGAAATATAAAGTACGAGAAAAAAGGAAAGAGGAGTGACAAAATGGTGAGATTCGGTATAGCGTTGTTAAGATGAGGTTAATGTGTGTGAGGATACATCTGCGCCACTGACATTGGTTCTGAGCCATATCACCTAAGGTCTCCAACCACTGTTGGTTACTCTTGTCCCGTACACCCCAACCACCTAGTCTGCATCGTCCTACATGGCTTAAACCAACAGTCAGAGACTTCTTACATTGGTGTGATGTTTTAATGTGGCCACCTCGAGCCTTTTTCCAGCCTGAACCTACTTCGGTCAACATTGTGTGACGAGGCAATCGGTGATTGTGCATACGTAATACGTGTCCCATTCATCTCAGTCGATGAAAGTTCATAACCTCGTCAACTGATTTACCTCTTCTCCCTAAAACTCTACACCTAACTTCTGCACTACTCACATGGTGACACCACGGAATACGTCCTATACTACGAAGGCAACGGTGGTCAAACACTTGAAGCAGTTAGGCAAGAATATATTTATACACAAAAATAAGTACTATGAACAGTTATTTCACTTCTATTTGTCTAAACATTCTATTCATAAAAAATCAGCAAAGAACAGCTAATAAGAGGGTGAACTGAAAATTGTTCTGGACAGAGGCAGACAAATAGACAGACAGACACATAGAGAGAAGAAAAATCAACATACAACCTTGCATATAAGTGCATCGGCTCAGATCTCCATATATCACAACAACATGCAAGAAACAGGCGGATACAAAACGACTGATATCAAAAAGTTGACAAAGATATATTCAGAACAAGAAACTATTTAAAGATAAAGGTAACAGGAACAATTCTAGCTTCAAAAGTTATCAAGGAGTGGATACATGTGTGCCATTCTCACCAGTTTTCAGTCATGTCACGAAGAGTGATCAATTACTGATTCTTTTCATCTCGAGGACCCCAACTATGCAGTCTGCACCTCGTCATACGGTTCAGGTCAACAGTAAGAGACCTCATCGACTGGTGTCATTTGCTGGTCTCGTCAACGTGAAACTTCTTCCAAGCCTAAGTACACTCTATCGAATTCAGTCTGAGTTGAGAAACGCATTCAATAAGTTCGGCTCACAGGCAGGTTAGAAAAAGTCTATCTATCAGGTTGTGACATATTCTGATTTATCATTATTATTATTATTTATTATTTGTCCCTTGGGTTCCTAATGGAAAATACGGCTTCAGAAACACGTCTCCATTACACTCTCTTCTCTGCAATCTTTTGAACTTGGCTACACGACACCCCAGAAGCTCTCATTTCTTCCTCACACCATCTCCTCCATGTCACCCTCAGCTGGGACGCCCAATTCGCCCTTTCCCATCTGGGTTCCACTCGACGGTCTGGCCTGGCGCGTGATGTCCTCGAATGGTCTTCTCAGTGCATGTCCAATCCATCTCCACTTTCTTCTGCGTATTTATTTGTTGAGCGATAGGTTGTTGTTTGGTTCGTTCCCAGAGTCACTTGTTGCTTATTATTTCTGGTCTTGTGATGTGATCTTCAGTATTGAGTCAGTGTAGGTGGCAGTTGTTGATGAATATCTGTAGTTTGTTGGAAGTGCTTTTCGTGACGAGCCAAGTCTCTCAACCACTACATAGAAGCACTGACTTGACTGAATTGGTGTTTAAAATCCGGATGTTGTTCAGGCTTTATGCTGAGTGCAGTAGATCTCCACACTGGTTTCAGGTTAATGAATGCCTGTCTTGCTGTCCTTCCGACCTTGGCTGGCTTTGACGTCCTTGTCTGTGCCTATGCCACCTGTAGTTGAAACAGCGCTGCCTATCTAGGTAGTTGAAAGATGCTACTTTCTTTGCATTTCTCCTGTTGATAGTGATTGTAGCTTGTTGTTGTTGTTGTTGATGGTGGTGTTGGTTGAGTGTCTTGGTCACCTCTGTCTTTTCTATGTTCACTTGATGCCCCGTCCTCGCTGCCTTACCTCTTCTATCAACTTGTTAGTTTTCCGCCTGTAGATCTTCGAGTTTGTGCGACATTGAACATAAATCATTGACGAACTCTATGCACGTCTGTAAATAAATGCGTACCGTGTATGTGAATTGTATTTTACACGATATTCTCTTACAGAAATGTATAATTTTTAATAATCAGATTTTGAAAATCTGTTGGATTTCTTCTCTATGTATTTACTTATTGTTTTTCTTTTGTGTTATTTATCCCATCCTGAAGGTCTTTTGTTTAGATCTGGTCTCGCATTTAGCTCAACATTATAATATCCAAGCCACTTTGGATCGTGCTGCCTACATGATTGATTCATTATACCACTTCTAACAGGTTAGTCTTTGTTTTTCTAAAAAAAAATTCCGGTTTTTATATTATCAAGTGGAATATGAGACCACAGTGGTCTTCTCCTTACTCGGATTTCTTACTTTAGCAATGATATGGTTCAGAAACTTGGCTTGTCACGAATAGCATTTTCAGCAAACTTTCAGACATTCATCAACAACTGCCTACGCTGGCTCGTTACTGAAGCTCAGATGGCCAGAAAGAATAAACAACAAGGAACTCTGGGAACGAACCAACCAACAACCTATCACCCAATTAATATGCACTGGAAGAAAGTGGAGATGGATTGGGCATACACTGAAAAGGCTGACTGGGGACATCACGCGCCAAGCCAGGCCCTTGAGTGGAATCCAAATGGGAAACGACGAGTTGAGCGTCTGAGCCGAGGGTGACATGGAGGAGATGGTGTGAGGGAGAAATGAGAGGTCCTGGGCAGTCGTGGCGTCAGGTTGGAAAGAATGTAGGGAAGAGAGTGGAATGGACACGTGTTACTGAAGCCCTATGTTCCACTAGGAACCCAAAGGTCAAATAGGAATAAATCAGAGCGCATTGAGTATCTATTTGAGACCTGTTTTATGCGGCTTTTGAAAATTGTTGGAGTAAAATTAGCATTTTTCACAAGAGGTAGAGAAACCCTACATCGCTGGCACCGGAAAGTAGTGAGGCTGGGAGGGGTATGCTATTTTTGTGAGCAAGCTTTTTTTGATACTCCTGTAGAGAAGGCATCATCAGTGTGGCACTGCTGGTCATCCAGCTAACGAACAGTACGACTTTGCTGTCAGATTCTTAACCTGGTTTAACAATTTGAACTACAACATGAACTGTTTCCCATCTCGTCATTATCCAATAAACGTTTATGGCATGGTAGAACTTCGAGGGAACAAGCGTTTCAGCCAGTGTAGCTCGTTGAATCTCTGTGACATACAAGCCCGTCAAGGTAGCAGCTATCGGCCGAATGATCTCAAAGTAGACAATGGTGTATGGAAGGAGGTCCAAATTGAAAATTAAGGTTAGTAAAACCGTTCAAGCTTCTGAAGAAATTTGTGCCACTATGACTAATCTTTAGATATGTCACTAAGGTTCTCTAATCATCGACTCCTGTCGTGTCTAGAACCATAATGAGCCAGTTTGTACGTACGTATGTGATTGAGGACAACAGTTAGAGACCATACGGGCTCTGCTGCTATATATTAGTACAATCACCCCTAACCTTCTTCTAATTTAGTCCTACTTCGGCTAGTTAGATGATGCCCTAGCATGGATAATGAATGTCGAAGCCATTTGGATTGATGAACGTTCACAGCCTCATCGACTAGTTTTCTCTTCACTCAACCTCGATATTCCTCACATGATGAATGCTGCAAAGACACCTGTGCTCAAAAACCTGTAGTCTCTTCATATTTTCCACATTCAACGACGATGTCCCACTATCGTGTAGCAGGGATGAGAGGAAAATACAGCACAATACACTAGTCCCTTAATGAGTGGTAAGATATCTCACTGGTACCACAAATGATGCAAGTTGGTAAATGACAAATGAGCCTTAGATATCTAAGCTGAGATTTCGTCAACAATCAGCATATTTAAACTCATGTAACTCCCCAAGTAAGTGATTTGGTTGACACATTCCATTACTTCACTCTTGTCACTAAAGTAGAAGTGGTTTCAGATGAGTCCCTGAGCATCATCTTATATTCGACAGGCACTAAAGAAATGTCAAACATCTTCAGTCTTCTGCTGAAGATGTTCAGAAGACTCTACATTTTGTCAGCATGCTCATCATCTGTGCACTCAACTATGTACCCTCTATATTTCAAGTAACTCAGTTAGTAATTTATTCACTAATCATCCGTCTATAAATAGATATTTAATTTTGAAGGAGTTGTGGGGATTTGGAAATATTTCAAGTTGTTATTCATCGTAGGCTGACATCAGTTGGAGGAACAAAGGAAACCTGAAGCACTAGACAGCCAGCTGTTGCGTCCCAGTATGAGACTCCTCAGCGGTGCGCACCCACGACTCCGCCCTCCAGGGATCGAACCTGCGACTTTCAGGGCCAAGCCTGCTGGTCGTGAGGATAGTTACTCAAGGATGGCAGTTGGGTTATATCGTGAGCCGATAGAAGTTGGAAATATGGACCATTGGATTCTGATTCATTTTCTCAATGGTAACGTGCTGGCCATGGAACCTGAAGGTCGTGGTGCGCACTGCTGAGGAGTCCCATGCTAGGACGAAACAGCTGGCTATCCAGTTCTCCCAGGTTTTTATTGTTTCTCCAACTGATGTCAGTCTACGATGAATAACAACTTGAAATAGATATTTATCAATTTTTATATAATTTTATATTTTTTTTTAATAATTACAGTTATTGTTAGTACAGAAGAGCGTTCAAATCTACTCTATGAATGTCTACCATCATTATTACGTTTAGGAAAAGGATTCCCTAATTTAGCGCCTATCATTTCACGTTTACTACTTTCAGTTGGATTAATGATTGGTTGTACATTATCAGCTGAAACTCGTCTTGGATTACATAATCAATTTAAAACTTTAAATTTAAGTGAGTAGTATACATTGATATAGTTTTGTTTTTGATGCTCCAGTTTTTTTGTATGTGAACATTTTTAACTTGGCATTCTCACAACATTTTTATTATATGACTAGTAGTTTATTTTGTGCCTCCATTTTCAAGGTAATTCGCTGATTGGCTGATTTTTATTCTCACTATGCCAATGTCTCAAATTGAGGACAAGGTCATTTTTCTTGGATGTGCATATTCACGTTTTGGGATATTTTATTATTATTATTATTATTATTATATTCTCTGAGGGATAAACTCAGCTTCGGTCTTCTCCCTATCCGTCGCGAGGTTGCAGTCAGTGCCTCTTGTGTACCAATTTAGCGTACGGATTCTATTCATTCGAAATATATATATATATATATATATATATATATATATATATATATATATATATATATATATATATATATATATATATATATATATATATATATATATATATAACTATTGTCGTTCGAAAATATAACAGATGTTTATTCGTAGTATGTTACTGTAGGGATAGATTTGATTCTTACGTTGTTAGAGTTGACATAAGCACATGATTTTGCTGATTCTAGTCCGAATAGTGACGTTAAATATGTTTGGTTTCGAATATACTTACTGAGTCATCGTCTATTCAATCTATTCACACGATGAATCATACAATCTAGCCCATCTAACCGTTTACAACAGAATATAAAGTCAAGTAGTTATTGTTTGTATACTTTTCAGGCAATCTGGTTCACTTGTATATATCAACCAAATTATGTTCTAAGTGACAATGTATTACAACCAACTTCATCATACAAAAAGATGAGTTGATGTACAATAATGAATTTCACTCAACATACAATTATTTTCAGTCTATAAGTTAGTTATACATTAATAAGTAAAGGAGGGATCAATAATGTTGAAATTTACGGGTATCACTCTAACCGAGTAGAAGAGGGGGAAAAAATCAGTCTATATACCTTTAAATTTTTATTGAATTGAATACATAAAGTGTACATTATACTAGCTAAGTCAATACATTGCCAGAGATACTGAGTGAATAATCGATTGTGCAAAGCACTAAAGGGAGACTTTCCAATGAATTTCGAATTGTTTCCCTCTAGTCAACAACTAATTCAATGGTGCATAAAGGATAAATTATCGCTTCGAACCACATTTATGTGTGTTTTCCAATTTATCTATTCTTGTGAAGTTGGTTCATCATCATCATCAACATCAGTATCAACATAGAACCAGGCATTACTGTGTAACGGTCCGAGTTGGCATATCTCATATCAGTACATCAAATAAAAAGGCAGTGAGGTGAAGGATGAAGATAAGAAAACTCATTCAAAAGGTATTGAAGTACGAGAAGAAAGAAAGGAGGAATGGGGAAATGGTGAGGTTCGGTATACCATCGTTAAGATAAGGATAATGTGTGTGGGGATATATCTGTGTCACTGATATCGGTTCTGAGCCATGTGATCACCTAGAGTCAGTCTCCAACCACTGTTGGTTTCTCTTGTCCCGCACACCCCAACCACCTAGTCTTCATCATCCCACATGGCTGAAACCAACAGTCAGAGACTTCATACATTGGTGCGATGTTTTAATGTGGCCACCTCGAGCCTTTTTCCAGCCTGGACCCACCTCAGCCAACATTGTGTGACAAGGCAATCGGTGACTAGGCATACGTAATACGTGTTCCAGCCAGTTATCTCAGTCGATGAAGGTTCACAACCTCCTCAACTGATTTACCTTTACTCCCTAAAACTTTATACTTGACTTCTGCATTACTCATGTAGTGACATCACGGAATACGTCCTATACTACGAAGGCAACGGTGGTCAAACACCTGAAGCCAGCCTTCTCATATCTTCCACTTTCAGTGGCCATGTTTCACAGCCATACAGTAGAACAGAGGGGACGTCTGTGTAGTACATGCGACCCTTAATAGGCAAATGGATATCACGACGGTGCCATAGGTAGCGTGAGTTGGCAAAAACCAACCGAGCCTTTTGTATCCGTGCAGAGATTTCATCGGTAACTGACCCACCAGGATTGATCCTACTTCCCAGGTAAGTGAATTGCTAGGCACACTCAACCACTTCACTCTATTGTTAGCCGTGGTACTGCTGAAGACCAATCCTGGAGCAAAAATTTGCATTGGACTGGTGAGAACCGCATCCCAAATATTGTGAAGTTGGTTACATTGGCCAAACAAACCACACCCTATTCAAACGCATCTCTGAATACTATCCTGCATGAATTTTCAAAGGAGAGTGTGAACCTCTATCAACAGATCAATTCTTGAGCATTTGATGAACTCTGATCACTTTTCATTATGATAGTCTTCTGTTAAAGTCAATTTATAATGTTAAATCAAGCATTTTGAAGAGACTGCCTATTCACCAACTCAACACATCAAAGACTTTGGCAATCCAGCCATTTAAATCTGATCTTTACGTGGAATCTCTAATTTTACCTTAGTCATTTTTTTTTGTTTATTCATTTTACTTGTATAAGCAATTTTTGATAACCTTGAGTTGATCTTCTAGTCGTTACCGCTTTGTGATGGTGATTGACCTTGTTTTTAATCCATTAGATATTGATGGAAACTTCAGTGCTGACAGATTTATAAGGGCGGTTGACACTTACCGGCTGCCCACACCGTGGAAGGTTATTTTTTTCTTAAGGTACCTGAAAGAGATTTGTGTGACAGCAGAGCCCATCGGACATCTGCTTGAGGCCTGCCACACGTAACCTTTTGAGTATGATTATTTTGAACTTTTGTATTTTTGTGGCCGGATGGTCGAAAGGAAACAACAAATAAACCTACACAGCCGGCCCGGCAGACCGTGAGGTATGGTGGAGTGTGTTTTTTGGGGGGCCGAACGTTTCTAACCTCCCTTCTCTACTGAGAAGGCAGCATCAGCATGGCACTGCTGGTCATTCAAGGGAAACACCTTACTGCTGTCACACCCCATCCAGCTAGCAGCAGTACGACTTCATCCTCAGATCCTCATCATAGTGTAGCAATTTACACCACAACGATAACTGTTTTTCGTCTAACCATTATCCAACATACCTTTCTGGTATGGTAGGACCTCGAGGGAACAAGTGTTCCATCAGCATAGCTCATTCGGTCATTATGATACACAAGCCCGATCACCACGTCAAGGTAGCAGCTTATCGGTCAGGAGATAAGATATTGATGGTATATATATATATATATATATATATATATATATATATATATATATATATATATTGTGTTGTAACTATGATTACGACTGTACAATGTTTGAAAGTGTTTAGTTGATCTACAATAGCTGGTTACATTAGACTTTTATTGAAAGAGAAATCAAGAAGTAAAATATAGGTTCCTAGTTCATGTGTTTAAAGTTTTGAATATGTTCATACTTCATGACGTAAGTTGAGACAGTATCAACGCTTAATAAATATCATTTTGACTCTAAGATAAGACATGATATCTCTCCAATGTATGTAGTATTGCATTCACTACAAAGTTTACCTTATAAACACACTTCTGTTGTTTCAAATGAGGAATCGAATCTTTTAATTTACACAGGTGTGAATGTAATGTATTCGTCACCTTGAAGAATACTCTAATGTTTTAACGATTAAGGATGCATCTTATTTCCTCTGATATAGGATGTTCGATAAGGAAGTACTATAGTACTTATCCAATCTTTATAGCTTAACTTTACCATATCTTCATTTTATAAACTTTTTTCTATCCTCTTTAATAGTTTTTTTTCCAGATAATTGTTTTGTTTTATGACTTCGCCACCCTATTTTTGTTCCACCTTACTTGCACAATCAAAAAAAAGCATCACTGACCGATTTGTCAATTCACTCACCTATATCATATAGATGGATCACTCCTCTATATCACAATGTAATTGAACGGTGAGGGTATAGGTCACCCGCTGCCTTCTACATCAAAACTGAATGTCAGATTCATACTCTTGACGAAAAGGATGTTTATAGAAACGTTGATGAATAATGTACAACATATTTGTTTATTTTGTTCTAATATACTAATGTCAGCGGATTACACAAGTAAAAATACACTTTATACAATGAAATAGTATTATTACTGTTATTATTGTTAGTCTTGATAAGATTATATTTTAATGATGGATAGTGGCTAGCAATAGAATCCAGGATGCGCATTTCATTCTATTTAGGACTCATCAGCTGGATGTACCTGCTTCCCAGTGGGTGATGTTGTTCCCGTCGGGATTCAGACTCGGGAGCGATCACTTCAAACGCCAGCTGATGAGTCCCATATAGGACGAAATGCGCATCCTTGATTCCATTGCTAACCACTATCCATCATTACTATCATAATAGTACAGTTAATATTAAGGCATGCGTACAGGAGGTTGTATGTCAACAGAGACCTATCAATTCGGTCCATTCAACGACGGTATGATATAAAAACTTATTATATTGTGTATGCCTTTAAATGTCAAGGTTGAACTGATCTTATATAGTCTGTTAACTTCTTCATGTTTCACATTCTTCTAAATTTTCTAATATTGTACTGTTGTTGTTGTTTTTTTCAAAAGTATCTCGTTTAATGTATGTCTATTGACTGAATGATAACAATACAATACTAGTTGTAAGATTATTTTATTACCTGTCTAGGTCAATTTATTCACTACACATAAAAAATATGCTTAGATAGATCATATATATTCGCTTGTAGATCTATTAATCTTCAACCTTGAACTTTTCCTAGGGCATACCTACTTACGTTATCTTCATTGATTGGTACTGCATCATGAGATATTATTACTGAATGTTAGCACAGGATACATCGTTATTTTCTTCAATTATTTTAAGCATATAAAGCAAAGATGAGTGATTTAATCAACGAGCGAGCATTTAAGAAGTCAATATCAACTAGACGGTTTATTGAGACTGTATTGATTGGTCACGGGAGTGCAACCAATTTCATGTTGTCTAGTCCTGGATGCAGATCGAATTCTATCGATCATATTTGCAATATGGCAACCAAGCTAGGAAGCTCAGCATCGCGGTGCACATTAGTAGATGTTATTTGGTTGGAGGCAATCGGCAGGAAGCCCTGGACCTAGATTTCGTGCTTTTTGGCACTCGTCAGCAAGGCATATCTGCAACCTCGACGGAACTGATGTCCCACCCGAGATTCTAAACCGCGTCACCCAGTGTTGTAGTCAGCGACTTTACCACTGAGCTATTCGGGCCGTTGAGACTGTTTGAGATAACCATAGTTCTCCAGGCTGGTATTATTGTTTAGTCAATAGTGATTGGGGTGAAATGAAAATCTGGTTTGTGGTATAATGTGAACCAGTAGCCTTCTGGTTACCGACTTGATTCTCCTTCAACGGATTTTTGAAATCCAACTACTCTATCTGATCACCTCAGTTAGCAAGGGTTTCGTAGTTCAGTTGGCAGAGCATTAGGCTGCCACCAGCCGATCAATCAAGTATGTGGTATATTTGCAATCGGGACATTCTTACGCTTTTATCAAAGACTTTCCAATATAGAGTGGTCGGTCGACAGATAAGCCCCAGTGGTTTCTTACTACTCAAGTTGTTCAGAGAACACATACTGTGATCTTGGCTGGCAGGTGTGGCTTCCAATGGAAAAATTGTTAACATGACAGTTGAGCAGTTGGAAGATTACTCAGTGTAGACATTCAATTTGTAAGTCATTTACAAGTCATTCATTCTACTTCATGTATTCCCATCCATTTAAGTTAGCTAACCAGATTTAGGTTATCTGAACAATTCGGATCTGTGAATTGAATTTATCCCGGTACACCATTGATCAGCAGTTGGCTAGACATCAAATGTGTGAAACGGTCATCCAGTGTTTAGATCACTCTGATCTGTCTGTCTGGTTGACAAAATCTACTGATCGGGGTGATTACTTTCTAGCTAGTCAAATTGTTCAGAAGTATATCTTACTGAGATTTGATTCCATGTAGAAAAACGATGAATATCACTAAGAAACGTCATTTGGGTGGGGGGTGGTTAAGAAAGTAGTAATTAATTCCTAAAATTTTATACATGAAATGAGTCAAAACAGTTTTGAATCAACTGAAATTCCAATCGGTGATGGTATCTGAGACTGCCTTGATTTGGTTAAACACTGGTAATTATACGGGATATGTGTTACGTATGCCTAGTCGCCATCTGCCTGGTCACGCAATGTTGACCGATGTAGGTTCAGGCTGGAAAAAGGCTCGAGGTGGCCAGACTAAAATATGGCATCAATATATGAAGTGCTTGACTGTTAGTTTGAGCTATGTGGGGCGATGCAGACTAGCCGGTTGGGGGGTGTACGGGATAAGAGAAGCCAGAGGTTGGAGACTGATTCTAGGTGATCACATGGCTCAGAACCGATATCAGTGACATAGATGTATATTTCACACACATTATCCTCATCTTAACAACGCTATACCGAATCTCACCATTTTCTCATTCTTTCTTTCTCTCTTTGAGTACTTTATATTTCTTCTGACAGCATTCTCTTATCTTTATCTTCCACTTCGCTGCCTTTCTACTTGATGTAGTGATATGATGTGTGGCAACTTGGAGCGTCACGCAATAATGCCTGGTCCTAGGTTGGTCTGGATGGTAATTATATGATTTCATGATGATTGAACCTGATGAAACTTACTTATGGTGCTGTATCATACTTCATGAAGTTCTCGATTGTGAGTGTGTGCGATGTAAGGCAATGTATCCTTACTGGTTGACGTATTTGAGACAACCATTGTCTGTGGGTGATATAGCTCAGTATCGATCTCAGTAGCACAAACATTCTCCATAGATTATCTCCAGTCTATTCGTTATATACAATTTGTTTCTTGTATCGTCCCTTCTTTTTGTCTTCTCATGCCTTTCTTCAACTTTTTGTGTTACATCGCTTGTTAATATTGACTATTGAGTTGTAGTTGAAGTTAACAGGAAAAAGCTGAGTTACAATAGGACTTGAAACACGTGGTTGTATTGTGTTCTCTGAGCTGGATTGCTTAATCGTGAATCTTTCATCGTCCTTCTAGACGACATCATCCATCAAACCACAAGATTATTTGCGTAAAGACTCTATTCAAAAGAGCGAGAACACACTGCAGCACAACAACTTCACGGAGGAAACGAAGAAAATTACTTGGTGTCCATCGTAAAGAAGAACGGCTATCCACGAAACTGTATCAGAAGATGCCTGTCCCACACATCACTAACTACAAAGTCATCGACAGACATCAATAAACGCATCATCCTACCATACATAGAGAATATATCAGAAATCACGACAAGATTACTGAGACCACCTGGAATTTGTGTGGCGCCTCATAAATCAACGAATCGCCTCCAAACACTAGTATGTAGACCAAATGACACAACAACTAAGGAAGACAAACCGAATATCATTTACAAAATCAACTGGAATAGCTAACTGTAGTCAACACTATATTGGACAAAGTGGTCGTCCTCTTCGCCTTCGTCTACATGAGCACCAATTGGCTATTAAACGTCACACACAACATTTCATCACTCATTTTAATGCATGCATGCATGGAAATGAATTCAATTTTGACAATATAAGAATCTTGGAGGGAGAGAAGAAACGCAGAGAATATCAGAGAATTCCTAGAAGCTTGGCATTCAGATGAGTCAGTCAATCAGCAATCAATGGAGAGATGTATAGAAATAGATCCAATCCATCGACCAATAAGGAGAATGATGAACGAGTGGAAGGTCAGAGGTGAAGTAGAGAACAGCCAACAGGTAAGTCTATACAATCAATGATATAACAATCGAAGAAAACAACCAATCACGGACCACATCGTCAGAGCAAGCTACTAAATCACTCAGTCAGGGAAAGATACTGACAGCTTACTTCATATTGACGTTAGTGCTGATGATGACGTCGTCTAGAAAGACGATGAAAGCTTCACGATTAAACAACCCAGCTCCACTGCTTGATACACTAATCCATTATATAATTCACCAGTTGATATTTGTTTACTTTTGAATACTTATTCTTATTGTTTATTGTCACTGTTCATTGATATTGTAGATTCACATTCAGAGATGATGATGATTTGATGTTGGACAATCGTATGACACTATTAGCGACAATAACAGCAGGAACAAGTGAATGTGATCAACTCTGTCTGTTAAGCATTATGTCTACATTGGATAAATTAGTTTGTCAGTGTTCAGCACAACGCTATTTATACTATTCACCTGAATTGACAAATTAGTTGAAGAGATGAAGAAGGACAAAGAGTAACAACTCACCGCTTTTTATTCGGGTACTTCGATATCATTTCATATGTATATGTTTCTTTGTGTGTGTGTGTGTATATGTGTGAAATTCCGTTCCATTTTTCAAGTAATAAACAGAAAAGATTTAAATGTATAATTAGTAAACTTTTAGTCTTTCTGTAGGCATCTATACGAGATGTGACCTCGTTCGTGTATGTACAACATTTCTCTAAAGATGAATAGTGGGGAATCAAACGAAACAGTCAACGAATGATACACCGAAAATAACTATTCCTATAGAAATGCCAACAATATGTATACATGGTTATCCAGGGACTGGATAATAATAGTATTACTGTTATAACAAACTCTATCCTACTTTTTCGCGTCCCTATGTTCCTAATAATTATATATGTCTTGGTTGTATTGTGTTCTTTGAGCTAGATTGTTAAATCACAGAGATGCGTTCATCATCTTGCTAGACACCGACATCATTAGCTCTAACTTCAATATGAAGTGAGCTGTCAATATCTCTCCCTAAGTGAGTGATTTAGTAGCTTGGCCTGACCAACTGGTTTCTGACTAGTTGTTTCCTTTGATTGTTGTATCATTGACTAACTGCATAGATCTTCCTGTTGACCACTCCTCTGCTTGACCTTTGACCTTTCTCCTGTTTATCATTTTCCTTATTGGTCGATAGGTTGGATCTATGTCTATACATCTATTGATTACTGATTGATTGACTGACCTGAATGCCAAGCTTCTAGGGATTCTCTGATATTCTTTATGTTTCCAGTCGTGACATTTAATAGCCAATTGGTGTTCATGTAGACGAAGGCGAAGAGGTCGACCACTTTGTCTAATGTAATGTATTGACTACAGTTATTCCAGTTGATTTTGTAAATGATATTTTGTTTGTCTTCTTTGGTTGTTACATCCCTTCGTCTGGATAATAGTTTGTGAAGTGAAAGACGATGAAAGCATCTCCACGATTGAACAACCCAGCTCAGAGAACACAGCATAACCAAAACCATCCACATGAGCTACAAATATTCTCCACCAATCCCATGTGTATTGATTAATTATAACAGCTAATCCATATCCCTTAAATTTATGATTCATTCGCTAAGAATACGCTTCTACTGGTTGATTTTAATAGGGTGTTGTAATTTTGCTTGGTGGTGGCTACCAGTGGAATTAAGGCTACCCACTTTGTCTTATTTGAAACTCATCAGTGAGTGGTTATCTTCGCACTGAGGCTCGAACCCCGTACTCATTCTTCAAACGCCAAAACTTTGTCCACTAGACCATTGAGACACTATTAACCACCATCAAACAAATTACAACATGATGAATAATCAGACAATGCTGATGCATTCGCAAAGGAACTCATATGCCAAGAGAAGTTGATAAATTCAATTCAGATTAACTCCAGGAAATTACAAACATCAATAAAAAAAAATAACACCACTCAGTTGTACCGTGTCATTTACTGGCATAAATTTATTACCTGGTATCTGTTGTATGAAAAGATCATGAGTACAGTTGTGTACCACTTCAATGTTATTGATGATAATTACTTACAATGATTTGAGATGTGCATTATAGAATTCTTGTAGATTAGGAAACAAGTAACATATAATTACGTAAAGCACGACTTATGTAGAAAAGTTAAAGTTTTATGAGATGGTCATAATGAAGATAAAGGTTGAAGTTGCTATTTTTCAATGCATAGCGCTAATTTGAACTTCTGAATTCCTAGTGCTTTAGGTATACCTAAATGCCTCGATCTCACTCTCTTTGAATGACTTCATCGAAGGCTACGTTATACAATCGCTTCAACTGATACAAGAAATTGATGACCATATACTATACCGACACAACAAGAAATACACTAGACAACGTCATTTACTGCAAGAGTTATCGTCACGTTGTATTCTTCTGACTTTTAATGATACCATACCAAGCATAAATGTAACAGAGAAGTCGCTGTTATGTAATGGCTGAAGGAGACACTCAATCAGTTTTAGATTTTTTGAGTTCGAATCTCAGAACGGATAATAATTCTTTTGAGGTTACGAATACGTCTTGCTGACGAGTACCAACAGGTACAAACTTAGATCCAAGGCTTCCTTTCACTTCATCTCCGACCAACTAACATCCATCGAAAGTACACTGCGATGATTAGCATCCTAGCTGGATGGTCGTATTACAAACAGATTTCGGTTAGCATTTAGAACTAGACAACATGAAATTGGTTACTGTCGAGACGTTTCCACAAGTTCTAGTAAATAAACGCTTTCTTAATCTTCTCAAAACCAGAAAGACTAATCATTACAGGTAGAGAATTCATCTACGGAGATAAATCAATGATCAAGGGATAATATTAGTCAGGATTGCGTGATAAAGTCAACGTTGATAACAGTAAAAGATGGAAGTATCTATGAATGTGACCATCCTTCAATGACCTTGAACGCACCAATACTGGATTTATGAGATCAAACACGTTGATGGTGATGCAGTACATGTAAGAGAAACAGTCAGGTAGGCGAGTGTATGAGTGCGGGAACATAGACTTTGGTCAAAGCAGATTCCAAAAAACTCTAACAGAGGTTTAGAGGCTGGAAAACAAACCCATAGAAATGGACCACAAAATTGACTTTGACGGAATCAAGTTTCTACAGGAAGGTTTTGTGTCATATCAAGAAAGATTAACAGTTTAAACCCTACATATATGGACAAGTCTAGGTAGTTTGAGCAGATGAGATGGATTACAGTTAGCTGCTTCTTGTCAATTACTAATTAGTAAGCAGAAACAGTGTCTCTAGCATTTCCTTTCAACATCAGTCTCAACATTATTATCTCTGCATCAGCAACAAAACGATGTGGGCTGATTTGATTGATTATTACTACCATTCATCTTCACTCTTTATCGGCAAATCAATGAAGAATTTCTTGATGCAAATTCATCCCTAGATACCAACCGAAATGGTACACATTTCTTATTTGTCCCCTGGGTTCCTAGTGGGACATAGAGCTTCAGTAGCACATCTCCATTCCACTCTCTTCTCTGCAATCTTTTGAACCTGGTTCCACAACCTCTCATTTTTTCCTCACACCATCTTCTCCATGTCACCCTCAGGTGGGACTTCCAATTCGTCGTTTCCCCTTTGGCTTCCACTCTACGGCCTGGCCTGGTGAGTGATGTCCCCGAATGGTGTTCTCAGTGTATGCCCAATCCATCTCCATTTTCTTCTGCATATTTGTCGGGCGCTATTGTTCCTACAAAATTATCGAATGACTAATGTCACACAGTATATAAGAAGAGCACTGTGAGTAGCCCGTGTTACTAGACAATGAAATGATATCTTCTGAATTCTGAAGTTCGAAAAGTCTTCCACTTAGTAGCAGACTTATGCTGCAATCAGAGGTTGCTCAAGAGTTTTATCGGTGATAAAGACAAAGAGGAGTCGCGAGGTCAGATAACCTCGCTCTTAGTTTGCACTAAAGAAGTAATGTGACTGTATGACCTCACTTCCAGAGTGTAGGGACACTTACAGTCTGTCATAACTCGATAAAACTAGACAACACCCTGACTACGTGTCATATATATCCTTAAAATGAACAGGAGATATGTTGTTTCAGCTGGATGCTTTACAGCGCTTTAGTACTCAGAGTTCCTTCTGAAACTCCTCTTCGTTAGGTGGGTCAGTGATGTTAACTGATCATGGAGTGCAGGAAATTATAGTCGAAGTTGTTGAAAAATGTTAACCAGCCAAATTACTGTTTTAAATTTTCCACATTCAGCACTTCAAGTATCTTTGAAAATTGTTAACCAGTAAACCGTCTACCTCACATTCTATCTCCCGACATTGAGTTCATAATACTAGTGGCTACGATGGGCTACTGCCAAATGCAGCATTGCTTCCATCTCTCTCATATACTCACTATCAAGTATTCTCATTCTTGGATAAGTAACGTATGATTTTTTGCGCAGAGGAATTATGCATAACACAGTACTTGATATCCAACAGCAAAAACCGACCCCTGACAAGAGGTTGCAGTGAAGTCACAGAGACTCAGTGTTTATTCATTGTACTCTAATACATTGTAGGATGTCAACATGTTTTTTTGATAAGAAAATGAGTAGATATACCACGTTTGTATGTGTTATGAACTGTATATTTCCTTCCATTCATCAGACTTACAATAATTCTGTCCAACTATCCACCTACAGTGGTTAAACTTGCCTGTCATATCAATTGAAATTGGTTGTAATTTGTATCTGCCTACTGTTTGATCATTCTACGAAGGTTATTATTGGTAGGTTGAGGATCACTTGATGATATGGTGTTTAAACTCATACTGAAATTAGACATTCGAGATAAAGTAGTGCTGTCAGATAAATTTATGCGACACAGCAGTTTATAGTTTCCTCTGAATGTCCAACTCACATATTTACCAATGTAACATTGCTGTCATAGTTCAGTTCGATATTTTTAACAAAGTTCTGTGAGAATAACTTCAAAGAGAATCTTTTCAAAATGTATAGTTGCACAGACAGAATGGCTAAGATGATACAGAACTATCTGTTACAGATTTCAAAGGAACCTGGTCATCTGACGAAATATACCCATTTATTCATTAACAAGAACAAGGCATGTATCAGCTTAGAAAAAGCATTTCTTTTCAACGACTTCATTATCAAGCTGTACAGTCATCGTATTTATACTCAGTAAAGTGACAGATAATGGCACTAAAAAGAGACTTGCTCAGTCAATATGCAAAATATAAAACGGTAGAGGTGGTGGTATTTGTTCAAGTGGAAGAGATAGAAAATGGGTCACTGTGAATAAGGAGGAACGAATTGATAACAAGTGATGAGATAAGCGACAAGCGCTGTCAAAGAATTGTGAAACGGTGACAATTAAGCTGAAACGCGTACAATAATAGGTCAATGAGTAAGGTAACGAATTGATATTAAAGAGTGAAATATGGTTCAAGTGTTGTCAATAAAGTGAAAATTGGTGATAGTGATGAGGATAATAGAAGAGAAGTATACAAAGTGAACTGAAAATTGACGAAATAACCAAAAGGTAGAGAAAGTGGTTTTACAAAACGTTTGACAACACTTGAACCATATTTCACTCTCTAATATCAATTCATTCCTTAATCATTGACCTATTATTGTACACGTTTCAGCATAATTATCACCGTTTCACAATTCTTTGACAACACGTGTCGCTTATCTCATCACTTGTTATCACAGTGATCCATTTTCTATCTCTTCCACTTGAACAAATACCACCACCTCCACCGTTTGTATATTTTGCATATTGACTCAGCAAGTCTCTTTTTAGTGTAATTATCTGTCACTTTACTGAGTATAAATACGACTGTATAGCTTGATGATGAAACCTGGTCATCGTATATTCAACAATGTAAGACAGATGAAATAAGCCATGGTCTTTAGTGATGACAGTCTAAAAATGTTTAAAGCCTGTAAACGTGCTGAGCATATATTTATTCTGAAAATTCAACCTAGTTACTTCTCAATACTTCATATTCATATAACTACGGAGACGCGTCCTTTGAAGTAAACTTTTCTGTTGTATGACTTGTTGAAGGGAGCCTCTAATTCAACAGACTAGCAAATTAGACTTTCAAAAACTGATTAAATTAATTGAAGGATACGAAAAGTAACAGTTTGAGTAGTGTGATGATACATTGAACCAACAGATGTCCCAGCATATCAGACAAAAAAAGTAAAGATGACTAGTAATTGATGAGGGGTTTTTGATAAAGAGATAGTTGAATTAAATGGTAAGTGAAACATTGACAATCAACTGCTAGCATTAAAATTCAAACAAATTGCTTATTTCACCCAGTTGATTATATTTCAAACCTGAGTAGAACTTTCAATTTCTTGAAGATTATAATATTATGTAGAAATAACACTCTTCTAAGACTAGTTTCTTGAAGATCTACAGGCGAAAACTAACAAGTTGACAGAAGAGGCAGGGTGGTGAAAACAAGGACTTCAAGTGAGCGTAGAGAAGTCAGAGATGATGAAAATACCTAACCAATACCACCAACAACAACAAGCTCCAATCACCATCAACGGGAGAAATGCAAAGGAAGTAGCATCTTTCAACTACCTAGATAGGCAGCGCTGTTTCAACTACAGGTGGCACAGACGAAGACGTCAAAACCAAAATCCGGAAAGCAAGACAGGAGTTCGTCAACCTGAAATCAGTGTGGAGATCTACTGCACTCAGTATAAAGCCTGAACAACATCTTTATTTTAAACACCAATTCAGTCAAGTCAGTGCTTCTATATGGTTCAGAGACTTCGAGCGTTACGAAAAGCATTTTCAACAAACTACAGACATTCATCAACAACTGCCTACGCCGACTCGTTACTGAAGATCAGATCACAAGGCCAGAAACAATAAGCAACAAGTAACTCTGGGAACGAACCAAACAACAACCTATCGCTCAAGAAATAAATATGCAGAAGGAAGTGGAGATGGATTGGACATGCACTGAGAAGACCATTCGGAGACATCACTCAACAGGCCAAGCCGTAGTGTGAAAGCCAAAGGGGAAACGATGAATTGGGCTTGCTAGGTGAGGGTGACATGGAGGAGATGGTGTAAGGAAGAAATGAGAGCTTCTGGGGAGTCGTGTAGCCAGGTTCAAAAGATTGCAGAGAAGAGAGTGGAATGGAGATATGCTACTGAAACCGTATTTTCCACTAGGAACCCAAGGGATAAATAAACTCTTTTGAGGAGAGTACTGTCCAATAAGATCTTTACGAGCAGTTTGCATTAAATGGCTCTACCTCATTATTCTTGTTTCAATGAGAATGATATACTAAAGCTAGTTTGTTATACTATCCCATCTCATATGAAGAACCGACTATTTGACAACACTGACTGAATGGTGCAAGAAACTGTGAGAACATTTTCTGAATGAAAATCTCCCTAAGTTTGGTGCAGTTTGACCATTTGGAATGAATCAAATGGTTTTCTTCCTTAATCATTTTGCTCCTTTGGTGCGAGTTATATAGGCCGCACAAATCGCACACTTTCCAAATGTATCTCTGAGCACTATCCTGGATGGTTGTCAAGGAGAGAATGTAAATCAATTAACAGTTCAATTCTTAAACATTTGGTCAACTCTGGACATAAAGCTAGACCAGAATCCTCCTTCAATGTCATTTATCGTGTCAGATGGAATAGTTCAAAAGGAATATGCCTTCGACAGTTGTACCCAGCGAAAGCACTGGTAGTTCATCAATTCAAGCCTTATCTCTGAGTGCAAAAGAAGTATGTTCAATCTCTTATCTTACCATGGTCTTAACACTTACACAATCTTGTTTCGATTTCATTATAACTAATTAGTTTACTGTTATTATCACCTTCATTATGACCCTTGTCACATTCTTCACTTTCTTTACACCTATCTATCAAGTGGACACTCAATATTTGCATTTCTTATCTACCAACAATTTTCACCTTGTCAAACTCCTTGCCTTCCTCGATATTTCTACTGTCTGAAGGATTATTACGCAACTACTTTGTATTCTTGATTCGTGTTTTTTTGTAGCACTAGGTTAATGATGTAGCTATTATACCCTATTGTTTTATAATAGACTGTAATATGTTTATAATATATAATATAAATACGATTGTCCAGCTTTAGAAGAAGAATATCGTCGAAAAGAGAGAATCTTTTCTCCGCTGAATTATTATCTCTTCTCTATGACTCAATGGGCATGTTTCGTAGATGAAATACTCTTTTTATTCCACCGTATATAGGATGAAGTATACATGAGTATAAAGCATTGAAATAGGATAATGGAAAGGAAACAAAATCATAACCTTAAATTTCTATTGAAAAAGTATAATACTACCCTGGATATCTTTTCAACTTTTTCAGTCATTTCTGTTCACTTTTAGTGGTAACACTATCGCCAACCACCACCACCACCACCACAACAACAACAACAACAACAACAACAATAACAATAATACCAACTGACTAACTTTAAACATTAATTACATAACTCAACGCGCTTATCTAGTTGATCATCATCATCATCAGCTAAAAAGAAAATAAACTGATACTGAATACTTTTGTTATATAATAGAAAATAAATTTAAAAAAATCGGATAAGGGGGAACACAACATAAAAACAACAACAATAATCATTTATCTATCTTCAAAAAAATAAATAATGAAAAAATTGATTGTAACAAAAAATAAACCCTGAGAATGTAAGTTATTACATATAATACATATCAAAATTTCAATGATAATTTTCTACAATAACATTAATGATTGTTTGAATTATTGACAATTGACAGTCTACGATATGATTTGCTTGTATTCCCTTCCAATTTACCTACAGTACCATTCAAATAGCCAATATATACTTGACGTGTCATATTAATAAATAGACCAGTACCTACAATACCTTTAAGAAAGACAAAAAATTTTAATCATAATGGAAAAAAATGTTACTTTTTTTAAAAATTAAAAAATTATTTGTTGTTATCTGTAATCTAGGCGTAAAATTTGGTCACTGTGGTAGAATTTACTTCCATATTAGAGATTTGTTTATTCGATTTATAATACACAGTGAGTGATCTACTATTAGTTACTTGATGACCACATTTCGAGGTATACAGTTTTAACTAGAAAGTAAACCTTTCTCTCTGAGGCTCTCATCGTTAGGGTTAGGGTTCGAACCCACTATTCACCTACCTACCCTGTTGAGTCGCTTGAGATTGAGCACATGATTAATTCAGCATGCTGATGCAGCTTCTTGTATGCGCGATTCACACACGCATTAGTCTCATGATTCCCATTAGGATGGTGGCAGCCTCTGTTGAATGGAAGACAATACTGGTGCTCATCGTCTTGGTTATTTGTGATATCCCAGTAATGCAGATAATTACCTACATTGTCGAGATGTAGCTCAATGAATAAGGGAGGTGGTTGCCCGTCAGTGGGTTCCCAGTGAACCCACTATTCACCTACCCTGGTTTGGGCAGTCAGATAGTTTAACTAACCATCACAAAATAGGTGTAGCTTATTGCCTACTGCATGGATGTCTACATTGTGTTGTTGATTGAGTTTTGTTTCTCATCAATATTGTATGCTGATAATGTCCCGTAATTCACAAAACTGAAATGAATTATTTTATACACAGATAAAGGATTTAATTGAGTACACAGAGTGATTTCCTTGAGCAGACAGTTATTTCAGAATCACAAAGTGTACTAAACTGAGTGAGACGTTAATACGAAACTCTTGATTTGAGGTATACAGTTTTAACTAGAAAGTAATTCTTCTTCTCTGAGGTTCTCATCGTCTTTTGTTCCATCGATAGGTATATAACAGTCACAAGTGTTTACTCGTTGTTCTAACAGTTGTCAATCCAAGAAATGTACAACCATGGACAAGTACTTCGTTGAGACCAGTGAGTAATTCATTATTCATTAGCTTGTATAATTTCATTCTTAATATAGAGGTGTAAAACTTGTGCACTGTAGTAGAAATTAATTCCATATCAGAGATTTGTTTATTTGATTTAGAACATACAGTGAGTGATCTAGTATTATCTACTTGATGACGTTTCCAGCATAAATTATCATCACTCATAATCATACTGAATGTAATCGCACAACACTTTCGACATTTGATCTTTATAGTTATGTCACCTCATATGAGTTGCTTTTATTGGTAGCAAAGTTTTCCATATCTCTGGTATAGGTGTGTTGCATCATTTCTATTCCACATGTGTTGAGTATTAGTTGATTCGATGAACAAAGATTCAGTAATCAATCTCTCTCTCTCTCCCTATCTCCACCTAATTATAATTAGGTGGACTTAAGCGGTACAGTGGCTTTATCCATCCACCCTCTATTGTGTAGTTCTGTATTAATGCAGGCATAGCAACAGCCGAGTTTTTTTTCTAGATTATTCATCCCCAATCGTAGTGGATATATTTATGGATAGTCGGCAAAACATGGCTTTACAAACGTTTAGTCCTACACGAAAAATATGATGGCGATATGTGAATGACATATCTATTGTGTTGAAATCGGAACATATAGACAATTTCCTCATGCATATAAACTCAGTAGCGGAAGCAATCCAATTCACTTATGAAGAGATAGAAAATGAACAAGGAGAATTACCCATATTGGATTGCAGGTTAAAACGAAGAACAGACGCTGGCTTGGAGACTACTGTCTACAGAAAACCAACACATTCCAGCAAGTATCTAGACTTGAAATCATCCCATTCAATGTCAGTTAAGGTAGGATTAGTCAATTGTCTAAATGATACAGCTAGAAAACTGACTAATCAGAGCAAGAACCTAAACAAGGAATTGAAACACGTAAAAGAAGCACTAATAGTTAATAATCATCCTCCGCAGTTTATTAAGAAATTCCCAAGGACACAAAAAACGAAGAATAACAGTCACACAAGTGCCACTAATAACGACAACACGAGTAAAAACGAGTTCATAGGCTACATTATATTACCCTATAAGGAGGGTACCTCAGAAACTTTATGGAGAATCTTCAACAGAGCTAGAATTAGGGTGGGATTTAAACCTTCAAACTAACTCAGAGATAAACTTTGTCACTGGCTTGATGATCCGATAGAATCAATTAGGAAAAATAATATAATCTATCAAATTCCATGTAATGACTATGAAGCCAAGTATATAGGTCAAACTAGTCGGACGGAGTCAGTTAGAATAGCCAAACATAGGAATTTAGCTAAATATAGAATAACAGACCCAAATTAGATCAATAATCTAGAAAAAAACTCGGCTGTTGCTATGCCTGCATTAACACAGAACTACACAATAGAGGGTGGATGGGATAAAGCCACTGTACCGCTTAAGTCCACCTAATTATAATTAGGTGGAGATAGGGAGAGAGAGACAGATTGATTACTGAATCTTTGTTCATCGAATCAACTAATACTCAACACATGTGGAATAGAAATGATGCAAAACACCTATACCAGAGATATGGAAATTTTGCTACCAATAAAAGCAACTCATATGAGGTGACATAACTATAAAAATCAAATGTCGTAAGTGGTGTGGGATTAAATTCAGTGTGATTATGAGTGATGATAATTTATGCTGGAAACGTCATCAAGTAGATAATACTAGATCACTCACTATGTGTTCTAAATCGAATAAACAAATCTCTGATATGGAGTTATCTGTAATTCTTTGTTGTTAAACCGCATCGAAATGATCGATATCTTTTGGTAGATGATGGATATCGCACCTCATTATAGCCTAACAGATAACGACTTAGCATTTAAAACGATGTGTACGACGTTCGATCTCACTGGGAACAGTATCACTACTCATTAGAGTGCGCGTACATCCAGTTGACAAGTCCTAAATAGTATGAAACGCGCGTCAGGCAGGATTCTGCAGTTAGCCAGAAACAACTTAGTTATTTACAATATAAGTATCTAGTTTTATGACTCAATCAGATAATAAATACTCTAGAAAAGTAGATAATCCTCCTTTAAATAACCATTGTAAAACAGACATTAAGGTGTAGTATCGTTGAGAATTAACGAAACATACTACTGAATAACTTAAAAAGTTAGAAACCATTCAGACTGATTGCAGATTTCACCAGCCAATCCACCAGATCAGAGTGATGTAAACATTCGATGGAATCGTAGTCATTCAGTTCACAGAGCTAAATTAGTTCATATTACTCGAATCTGGTCATCTGACTTGCATGAACCGACCCACACACATTAAATGTCTTACACATGAGTAGTTTTTCACCTGCCCAACTCTAGTGTCAATAGGATTTTCATTGGAAACCACTATCCAGGTGAGATCAAAAGATCTAGCCACTGACACACAAAAGTGTTATGAACCAGTAAAACATAATACACAATGAACAACTTCAGGAGTACTTCGAAACAATTCAGGTACGTCTATAGATCGCAGAGAATTACAATTCCCATACCTTTTTTGATCATGAATTAAGATGCAGATGAAAACAAATACTGTTAGGGCAGGAGATAAGAAAGTTGTAAATAATATGAAAAATAAAGTAAATTATCCTAACAATTATGTGCATTACTATTTATTGGCATACTTGTTATTCTCCGTTGTTTGTTCTGTTGGATCGAACTGTTCAACCTCTAGTGGTATATCGGCTCCTATGCGGATGCCTCGATATTGACTGAATCTTAATTATGATAATTTGGTTGGTTGTGGTTAGCAGAAGAATCCAGGACGCGCGTTTCGTCCTATTTAGGACTTGTCAGCTGGATGTACCTGCACCCCAGTGATGTTGTTCCCACTCAGACTCAAACCTTGTACCCATCGCTTCAAACACCAAGGCGTCATCCACTATGCCACAGAGGAATGATAGCCACTTCTTGTACAACAGGTGATAGTTATTACTATTTATTGACAAACTTGTTATTCTCCGTTGTTTGTTCTGTTGTATTGAATTGTTCGACCTCTATTGGCATATGGGCTCCTATGTGGATGCCTCGATATTGACCGAATGTTAACTATTAATCAACCAAATTATCATAATTATGTACATGTTCATATATTAAGTAGTGAGTAACATCTGATGAGTGTGCATTAGCCATACAACCTGGAAACCAATACGTCTCAGTCTGTATACACATCTCTTTTTTATCCTAGTATTATTCCATTTCTGTTCACTTCCTTATTCTATGCTATTGTTAAGTTTGGTAACCTCGACTGTAAGCACTTTTATCATGTACCGCTTTCGATTGTTCTCTACACATAATTCAGCATATTTTTCTACAATAAATTCTTTGAATGACTTCTCAGTCACAGCTTTAAAGTTATTATGATGTATTATCCCTTTAAATCAGATAGAGTAACGCAAAACCTCGGACATTAGTGCATCGCAGTTGAATTCTTAAGTTTTTCATTTTCCCTTACTCCATCCATCCATCCATTCAAGTCAACATAGGACCAAGCATTACTGCATGACGCTCCAACTTGCCACACCTCATATCAGTACATCAAGTAAAAAAGCAGTGACGTGAAAGATGAAGGAAAAGAAATCCAGTCAAAAGAAATATCAAGCACTCAAAGAGAGAAAGGGAGAATGAGAAAATGGTGAGATTCAGTATAGCATCGTTAAGATGAGGATAATGTATGTATACATCTGTGCCACTAACATCGGTTCACAGCCATATCGCCTAGAGTCTCCAACCATTGTTGGTTCCTCTTGTCCTGCAGACCCCAACCACCTAGTCTGCATCGTCCCACATGGCTCAAACCAACAGTCAAACACTTCATACATTGATGCTATGTTTTAGTCTGGGCGAGAGCCTTGAGCCTTTTTTCAGCCTGAACCTACTTCAGCCAACATTGTGTGATGAGACAGACGGCGACTAGGCATACGTAACACATGCCCCAAGCTTCGTTTTAGCTTCTATGCTTTGTAGAATCTTCGTGTTATTGTTGTTTCATCTTCCTTTAAACCCTAGTGACAAACCAGTCTACAAGAACTCGACTTTATACAAATACTACGTACAAAACATTACATATAACTCAACTCAAATCTCTCGGTAATCATGATCACGTCCATGTATTAAGCAGTGAACCACACGTTTTGTGTGGGGTTAGTAATACTACCTGACTGTTCAAACCTTAGTAGTAAGTGTAAAGGAGATTTAGACCAGCAACCCCGTTGGTTGACATTCAACTACTTTGATCAATATGAACCTTAACTCCAATAAAAACACAACATCAACTACAGCGGTCTTCTTTTCAGCCATTTCCAGTTGACAGATGCTCCAGTTTACGATTAACCATTGAAGCCTCTGTTGTGATAATAATAAAAAGACGCTGTTACAAATCACATGATAGACTTTACACTAACAACAATGAAACTTAGTCTTCTGATTCTGACAATTCACTGTATGCTTTAATTAGCTATGTAAACAAACCTACAGTCATACTGTACAACCTACATGAATTCAACCATCACTTAGAGTACACAATGAAGTTAAACTTGTCAGGAGCTTTTCGCTTAGTAATCAATTCATAGTTGATTCATTCTAACAATGTATACGTGTGTGTCTGTGTGTATGTGTGAATTCTTGAACAATAATCGTAGGCTTCATCTTCGAGGGTCAGTCAGGTTCCTTAAAACGCAAAGAAGCCACAAAACGACAGAAGGCTAAATTTGGAGGTTTGCATGGATTTGATTGATTTCAAGTCGGTATACATCCTAAACTGACATCAGTTGGACAACCATTGAAAACCTGGCAGTACTAGACACATGTTTCATCTTAGTAAGGGATTCCTAAGCACTGGGTACCCATATCCCCGTCATATATGAAACCTAAGACCTGTGGGAAAACCAAGTTGAACATTAGGACAAACACCTTATGATAGCATAACATAAACGTCATGATATATCGCGAATTGATAGAAGTAGTTACGTGTGAATCACTTTATTGCGACACAATGATTCGATGATAATCTGTTCGCCAAGAAGCCTGAAAATTCTGGTTTTGGTCCTTGATGAAGGAGGGGGTCATGGGTGCATACAGTTGATGAGACCCATACTAGAGCGAAACAGTTGCTAGTGCCTCCAGTTTCTAAATAGTTTTCCAAATGGCATCAATTCGTGATCAATGCTAAACTGAACTCGGCAAAAGATTTACTACCAAGTCGAAATATGCTCCTGATGAGCGACTTTAAAGGTCACCCTGGCAACTGCCGAAACAACCAATCAGTTTTCGTTATTCCGGCTAGTAAAGTAGTTTTCCATAGAATTTAGAAGCCTGATTGGTTATCTCAGCGGTTGCTAGGATGGCCTTTAAAATCTCTCCTCTTAACGCCCATGATACTTTCTACATCTTTCTCGAAAGACATTTAGCTCATTTGAATCTCTCACGCATGATTACCCGACTTTTTGTGAATTTTCAATGTGGAGTGTTTGGTTGTGTAAGCTTTCATGGAGTTCATGACTTCTCTGAGGAAATTACGAGGTATTAATTGACTCCATATTAAAAATGATATCTTCATTTCGAATGAAGAAGAAGTTTTGCAGTCTGAATGCGGATGATTTTTGCTGAAGTTACCATTTTTAGCCAAGGACGTTCAATCCTATGACTTTTTAATTCCGTTTTTAGAAAATACAAACTACAGAATGAAGCGCATATTTTTTCAACAAGTGAAAGTTGGATGGTTTCCTATCTCTATATATAACGAGGCTTTTGAAAAGCAAGAGTAACTAAGGTGAATCTGTAACGATTGTGATGAACATCACATACACAAAAAAACTACTGTTCTTTTCAACTGTGGAAACGAAACATATATACAATTGTGGAGATGAATACGATTTTGAAAGTATAGATAACTGATATAGGCGAAAATCAACATATATCAGAGGATTTCTTTTGGCAAATTGGAGCTTAGATCAATCAATAATCAATAATACATAGCTCGAAACTATCATAACCAGAGAGGAAGCTGATAAACACTTAGAAGATTAAGGATCGATGAAGTCATCAAGATTAGCTAATCAGAATACACATGGACAGAAGGACTACTTAAAACAACCAATCATAAACTAGGTCATCTGAAGAGGTTGTTCAATTACTTGCCTAGAAGATCAATTTTCAATACATTTTATATATCACAGTATTTTGATCGATAGTTGAAAAATAGTCAGTTTGTTGATGATTGTAATTTGTAAGATAGTGACTACGATAGTACAATTTGAAAGTAAAAAGCCATATGTTGAAAACATCTGATCTTGTTGCTTCAATCTCTGCTTTACAAACTCGAATTTTGATCCATGTTAAAAGTACATTCAAACGTTAGTATGAACTATAAATAACATTTATGCCCATCGCAGATGACATAGTTCTGTTAGGTGACAAAATACAGAGTATTCTGGACGCTTTGAGTGGCAATTTGAGAATTCTTGCGATGCGTTTCACACCACTCAAATCAAAATTGTTGCTCCAGGACTGGTCTTCAGAGAGTGTAATGGTTGAGTGAGTCGATCAATTCATTTACCTGGAGAGTTGGACAACCCTAGTGGTTCAGTGACTGATGAAATCTCTGCACGGATACAAAACGCTCGGCTGGCTTTTGCCAATTTACGTTACTTGTGGCGCCGCCGTGAAATCCGATTGTCTATTAAGGTTCGCATGTACTGCACAGTAGTCTGCTCTGTTCTACTGTATGGCTGTGAACTATGGCCATTAAAGGTGGAAGACGTGAGAAGGCTTCAGGTGTATGACCACCGTTGTCTTCGTAGTATAAGCCGTATACTGCAGTGTCACCACTTGAGTAATGCAGAACTCAGGTATAGAGTTTTAGGGAATAGAGAAGAGGTAAATCAGTTGACAAGGTCGTGAACCTTCATCGACTAAGATGGCTGGCTGGGACACACGTTACGTATGGCCAGTCACCGATTTCCTCGTCACACAATGTTGGCTGAAGTAGGTTCAAGCTGAAAAAAGGCTCAAGGCTCTCGCCCAGACTAAAACATAGCATCAATGTATGAAGTGTTTGACTGTTGGTTTGAGCCATGTGGGACGATGCAGACTAGGTGGTTGGGGTCTGCAGGACAAGAGGAACCAACAATGGTTGGAGACTCTAGGCGATATGGCTGTGAACCGATGTTAGTGGCACAGATGTATACATACATTATCCTCATCTTAACGATGCTATACTGAATCTCACCATTTTCTCATTCTCCCTTTCTCTCTTTGAGTGCTTGATATTTCTTTTGACTGGATTTCTTTTTCTTCATCTCTCACGTCACTGCCTTTTTACTTGATGTACTGATATGAGGTGTGGCAAGTTGGAGCGTCACACAGTAATGCCTGCTCCTATGTTGACTTGGATGGATGAATAGATGAAGGATAATTAGTTCACCTTTTCATTGCCTTATCGAATAGGAAATGAAAATGAAATTATTCTACCAGCAGTAATATCAGGTATCCTTTCTATGTAGACTTTTGTCATAGCTGCCAAGCAAGCATACTTAACTTGCTGGTATTTTTCTCACCTGAAATGCTGAACTACTGACGTAAAGTTATTATTTATTTCATCAGATGTTATCCCTTATCGGTCATTTAAGTACCCAATTATAACAGATAGATATTCTTTCTACTATTCATAACATAGTATGGATTATAATAATTAGTTAGAATATTATATGTTTACCAGAGATCACTTTGATTGGTTACTTAGGTGTATAAGTCTGTACAAACATTTTTCAGTCCTATAATCTAACTTTATAGATTTGAATAGTGAGAGAATAATGAGACTATTTTTATCAGCGATTTTAGAATCAAATCAAACTGTATCACAGGTGGTTGACTGGTGTCAAAAGTGTCATCAGTCAGAATCAGATTTAGTGGAATCTAAGAGTCATTCATTATTCCATCTTGAAGACTATAAAAAAAAAATAAATAAATAACCCAAGCGAACTTGGTAAAGATGTTCATGTACTGAGTAGTTATGACATTATTCCGTTCTTCAGGTGATATGGGATAGTTAGAAGTGAAATTCTTAAGCTGATAGGGTACACTTATGTGAACATCTTCACAAAGAAGATGATTTGGAACCGACATATAGTGAAGTGAAACACCAATAAAATTATAACAAGTAGTAATAAATACAAAAAAATATAGCTTACCAGGGATACGTGAAAGTTCAATATCCACTTCTGGCCAATGATATTGTTTATTTGTATCAAATTTCCAATCGATTAAAAAGTTCCCATTATCTGTTACAACTGGACCCTGGTTCAGTAATATATCAATGAAGGAGAAAATAAAATGTAAACTATTTTCTCCTCCTCCCCCCCCCGCACGAAAAATACAGTAATAACTGCAGTGAATTTCCTTATTGACAGTTGAATTAAGCTCTATACGCAATCAATCACTAAGTCAAGGTTTCGAACCCTGGTTCATCTGCATACGTCCAGACAGACAGGTATTATTATTATTTCAAACAATGGTGAGTGCTACTCTGAAAGAAAAAAAATCCCTACAAACCTCGAAAAAAGTGACAGTCTAGTAGCCATTAACAACATGCGTCTAGATGCATGTCATGAAATTCGAATGACAAGCTGTGACTTATGGGATCAACTCGTGATTTTGGTGGATAGTTGCGATATATTGCGAATTGACAGAAGTATGAAACTGTGAACAATTAAACTTCGACTTGATGACTCAATGGTTGAAGTGCTTGCCATGAAACGTTGGCCGTCCTGGGTTTGATACCTAATGGAGTCGTGGGTATGCACTGCTGGGAAGTTCCGTACTAGGATAAGACAGCCATCCAGTGCTCATAGATTATCAGTGGTTCCCCAACTGTCAGTCTATGATGAATACCAACTGGTTGGTTAAAAATTATGGTCACTGAAGCACATGACAAAAAAATAAAGAGACATCCGACCATACGAGTATCTGGAAGACGTCTCAAATATGACGAAACCATTGACCCAGCAAGTTCGAAATTCAACGCTGAACCCCTTAATTCAGTCAGGAGGCGGATAAGATGATCGGTGAAACAGAAAATTTCGAAGTTCAAATTTTGATCCATGCTATATTGCGGTCAGCATAAATCTTATTGGATAATTGCATGCACCAAGGAGCCAGCACATATCCAAGTCACCTCAGCCGATGAAAGTTCACAACCTCATTAATAAACCATCTTGCCTAGTACCCTTCAACTCACCTCAACACTGTTCACACGGTGATTCCATCATACGCTAGCAATGCTGCGAAGACGTCTGTGATCAAAACCCTATAGCCGCTTCATGTCTTCTACCTTTAACGGCCATGTTACATAGCCGTGCAACAGGACAGAACGGACTGCAGCACGGTACATTCGTCTTTTGATACATAGTCAGATATTTCGCCACTTGACACCACAGATGATGCAGGATGGTAAATGAAAAACGAGCTTTCTCCAGCCAAGCTGAGATATGATCGGCAACCAACTCGTTGGGGCTGACTTAACTCCCTCAATGCAGTTAAGCACTTCAATCTCTATCCCTAGACTGGAAGTGATTTCAGATCAATCCTAGAATATCATCTTACATTTGAGAGGTGCCAGCAAAACGCATGTCAAACATACTCAGATTACCACTCAACGCATACAGAAGACCCTGTATTTTGTTAGGATAAATTAAGCGTTGGAATCACACAAAAAATATGATTAGCGTGTATTATTGGCCGGCATAAGGGATTCTTAATACCACTCAGACATACATATATTGTATGTACTGTGCATTTTCAACAAATTAGTCTGTTTAGTGACATTATCAGTCTTCATATAAAAGGTAACAGACTGATTAGATCAAGTTTTATGCGGTAAATGTATTTGTACTGAGTGATGATTGGAGGTGAGATGAAAATCGCGGCCGGATTCGAACCAGCGACCACTGGGGTTACCGGCCCGTTACTCTGCCAACTGAGATACGAGGTCCGATTGCTGCTGGTTCGAATACGGCCGCGGTCCAGATTTTCATCTTACCTTCAATCATCATCCAGTACAAATACTAGTCTACCAAACTAAGGCTATCTTAGATAGTCAAATCATAGTAAATGTATTTACCTAGTTAGTGGTGTACACTATACATTTGTGTACACACACATATAATGGAGAAACAACGAACAGATGGATTACCAACTCGCCATGTTATAAAAACCCCTAACATCTATGATACTAATTTATCGACTGACAAATGGAAATTCTTATATGGACTTCCTGGTTAAGATGTGTGAAAAAAGGTGAAAAGTGTAGGTGATCAGGGTAGTACAACTACATTAACACTTAGTCTACCTGTAAATCTAGCTGAACAGTCGACTATTCAAGTTTTTTTCATTCTCTCTCTCTATCTCAATACGTTTCTTATAGCTCTTTCTCGTCTCATTTGTTACTATCATTAGGATTTTTTCAAATCCCGTTTTTTTGTCTTGTGTACATTGGTATAAGGTGTAGTAGCTTGAATCGATACAGGTTCTTTAAATCCCTCTTATTTAGACTTATCTACACCACTGTTTTGTGTAACTTATTTCATCAGTCATAGCGCAGTATGTGGTTGAATGTAAATGATAGGAAACTCTTTCAACAGAAGGTTTCGTTCTTGTCAGAATTCATCAGCAAGGCAGATCTGTAGTTTTAATAAAATCCATACCCATAAAAGACCTAAATCAGCATCACGCAGTGACATGATTAGAGACGATACTAGTACAACATTCAAGAAGTTCCATGATTGATGAAATTTTTTTAAGCTTCAGGGGATGAGGTGAATGAAATAGAATGTCTATTTAGAAGATAATAACTTACCATCTTTGAAGTAGCCTGTCGTAGGGTAGTTTTTCCTCCAAATAACTTCTCTATACGTGTTTGTATCGGTTTGAATGCCATGGGAATCACTTCAATAGGCAATCCTTTAGTCCAATGAGAACCCAATTTTTCTGAACATTTTCTGAATTATTCGTTAAGATGTTGACATAAAAAGAAAAAAACCTTTACTTTTACGTTTCTCTGAAATACTTAATCTATCATTTTTATACAAGTCCTAACTTAACTGGAACTGTGTAGTTGAACCAATGAAGAACTAATGGTTTGGATGTTTGAAGGCATAGGGGTACTGGGTTTGAGTCTGGGTAAGAACACCGTCGCTAACTTTGGTGTAGGTAAATCCAGATGACGAGTCTTAAGTAGAGTGAAATGCACGTCCTGAATTCCCCTCCAAGCTACCCAGTAAACTATAACACAGTAAATATTCAAGCAATATCGAAGCATCCACATAGCAACCCACCTGCTAATACAGGTGGAACAATTCAACCTAGTATAGGAAGGGGAAATTACAAGTACTAATAGATAACCAATGGGACAAGCTTTTCAATGTCCATCAACGAATTATCTAAATATTCGAAGTTGTAATTGTCAGCTTGAAATGGAATTCTATTGAAGCTTAATAGGGAAGACTTGATAGGAGGTTGATTCGAAGAAAATATAAACAAGCATTACAGTGTAGAACCTACATCGATGACAGTGAATTCCATGAGTCACACTTCTAAAACAGCCCCCCAAAAAAAGAGATTAAAATGAATTTAAGGCGAAAACAAAACTGTCTATGAAAAAAGAAGTGAGGAGATAAGAAACGAAGACTTGAAGAGAAGTGGAGTAATGCTCTTGCCTTCACATAATGATATACAGCCGACTGACAAATGGACGAATATAAACGATAAGTAATGTGAAATATACTGTTAACACCCAGTGAAATCAGAGAGTAAACAAAGTGACAGATAATCAACAACCAGCTGCCATAATTCACAGTACCCTGGAAAAAAAACAAGCGGATAGAAGAGGACTGACATCAAAGTACACAAAGCTGTGTTGAGAAAAAAATAGACAATCTGAAGATAAAGGTTAGTGTGAATATTTAAGTAGTGAATACATCTATGCCATTCCATCAGGTGTCCTCAACCACTAATTCCTTTCGTCTCGGAGACCATAACCAGGCATTCAAAATCTACCCACATGACTCAAACCAAGAGTTAGGGACTTCATTGACTGGTCCCACTATTATCTTAGTCTGGTCACCTTAAATCTCCATATTCTAATTTAATTCAACTTTCTCTAGCGGACCAAATTACAACCCTAGGCATCATCATAGAACAGAGTATAGAATGGCAGTCAACTCAACTCTACCTCAACTTCGACTTTAAAAGACCTTCAACAGCGTCGACCAACAAGTAACTTGGCAACTGCTCCAACACTACGGAATACCAAAAACCTTTATCAATCTCATTCAACAACTATATGAAGACGCCACATGCCAAGTAATTCACAATGGGAAGCTCAGTGATGCTTTTGAAGTGAAGACAGCAGAAAGACAAGGCTGTCTCCTATCACCCATGATATTCTTGATTGTAGTGGATTGGATCATGCAACAGACGTGAGGAGCGAGAAGACGGGGATAGATCTTTTGACCATAGAAAAGCACCTAGAAGATTTGGATGTCGCCGATGACTTGTGTCTAATGTCACACAGCCTTGAAGATCTACAGGCGAAAACCAACAAGTTGACAGAAGAGGTAGGGCAGCGAAGACAGGACTTCAAGTGAACGTAGAGAAGACAGAGGTGATGAAGATACCCAACCAACACCACCACCACACAACAACAACAAACTCCAATCACCATCAACGAAATAAACATAAAGGAAGTAGCCTTTTTCACCTACATAGTCAAGGCAGCATCGTCTCAACTACAGGGGGTGGCACAGACGAGGACATCGGAGCCAGGATCGGAAAAACAACAAGACAGGCGTTTATTTTTCAACATGAATGTCAAGTCAGTGCTTCTATATGCTTCAGAGACTTGACGCGTTACGAGAGGCATTCCCAACAAACTACAGATATTCATCAACAACTGTCTACGCTGGCTCGTTACTGAAGATCACATGGCCAGAATAGCAGAAATAAGCAACAAGGAACTCTGCGAACGAACCAACCAAAAAATATGCAGAAGGAAGTGGAGATCGATTGGGCATGCACTGAAAAGACCATTCGAGGACACCACGCGCCACGCCACGCCCTCGAGTGGAATCCAAATGAGAAACGAGTTGGGCGTCTAAGCCGAGGGTGACATATGGAGAAGATCGTGTGAGGAATAAATGAGAGCTTCTGGGGTGTCGTGGAGCCAGGTTGAAAAGATTGCAGAGAACAGAGTGGAATGAAGACGTGCTACTGAAGCCGTATATTCCACCAGGAACCCAAAGGACAGATAATTCGAAATAAATTCTCTTGAACTGTATGTCAAGGTAGGTGGTAGCTCGACATCCGTAACAGAAATTCAAGCCACCTCAATCACTGAAGGTTTACAATCTAACCAACTAACCTGCATTTCTTGCCTAGTAGTCTTCAACTGACCTCGATATGCTTACATGGTGATTCAGCCATACGCGAGCAATGATACGAAGACATCTATGATCAAAAACCTGCTCCTACTTCTCAGAGCCATGTCTCATACCTGTAAGCAACAACACAACTACAGCATCAACAGGATCTCCAAAGGAAATAACCAAACGAGATTACACTGTGTGTTATAAACTAAAAGAAAAGGTACTACTGAATATCTAGGTACCTCTATATACAGATCTACTGATTTCATTAGCCAAATCAGATTCCCAGTTGTTTTGCATGTCTCAGACCAAGTTCAATATAGGGCTTAGTTGAAGAGATTTAACTCAGTATGACTGATTTCTTACTAATTATGTTATCCAGTGGGATTATAAAGTTCTCTTTGAATAATCAACGGGATCACTAAGGATGCGCTGGATTCAAAATTACGACCGGAACAGGCCGCTGGCTGGTTTCAGGAAGAACCATCATGTGCGGATCGAATCGCAACGCTACGCATCATCATTGGACAGAGTATAGAATAGCGGTCAACTCAACTCAACTTCATCGATTTTGAAAAGGCTTTCAACAACGTCGATCGAGAAGTAATTTGGCAGCTGCTTCAACACTACGAACATAGTGCCACAAACTTTTACCAATCCCATTCAACAGCTATACGCTATATGAGGATGCTGCATACGAAGTGATTCACAATGAAAAACTCAGTGATGTATTTGAAGTGAAGACAGACAGGAGTAAGACAAGACTGCCACCTACTATCACCCATGATCTTCCTGATTATGGTGGACTGAATCATGCGAAAAATTGTCAAGAGCGAGAAGATGGGCATTGCTGGCTGGACCGATGAAAAGACCCTAGAACATTTGGATTTCACCGATGGTGATTTATGTCTAATATCTTGTCGCACAAACTCGAAGATCTACAGCGAAAACTAACAAGTTGACAGAAGAGACAGGGCAGCGAAGACGGGACTTCAAGTGAATGTAGAGAAGGTAGATGTAATGAAGATACCCGACCAACAACAACCACCAATTACCATTATTGGGAGAAACCTAAAGGAACTTGTTTCTTTCACCTACCCGACTAGGCATTATCGTTTCAACTACAGGCGGCGGCACAGACTAGGATGTCAAAACCAGGATCGGAAAAACAGCAAGACAGGCTTTCCTGCATTAATCTGAAATCAGTGTGGAGATCTACTGTACTCCACTCAGCATAAAGCGTGAACAAGATCCGAATTTTTAACACCAATTATTCAAGTCAGTGCTGCTATATGCTTCAGAAACTTGGCGTGTCACGAAAAGCACTTCCAACAAACTACAGACATTCATCAACAGGTGCCTACGCTGGCTCGATACTGAAGACCAGATGGACAGAATGACAAGGATAAGTAACAAAGAACTCTGGCTGGCAACGAACCAACGAAGCAAGAACCTATCACCCAACAAATGTGCAGTAGAAGAAAGTGGAGATAGATTGGGCATACACTGAGAAGGCCGACTGAGGACATCACGCGTCAGGCCATCGAGTGGAATCGAAAGGGAAACGATGAGTTGGGCGTGCTATGTGAGAGTGATATGGAAGAGATCATGTAAGGAAGAAATGAGAGCTTATCTGGTAGTGGTGGAGGTAGGTTGAAAAGGCTTCAGAGAACAGAGTGAAATGACCAAGTGTTACTGAAGCCCTATGTTCACTAGGAACCCAAAGGACATATAATAGTAAATGACAATTATTCCCTATGGTAAATATAATTAAATCAAGTTTAAACTAACTGTTCATCGATAATAACAATAAAATTGGTACTACATGAAGCAACAATTTTTTCTTGTAATAAACAACCACCGCCTCCTTTGATCAAATTGACATCATCATCTACTTCATCTGCTCCATCAAATGTGACATCAATCTAAACTCATAATTTATATTACAAAAATTTAAAGACAAAATGAACACTGATTACCTGTTCACATATATCAAGGTCAACGACTGGTAATCTGTAATTAATTAAAAGTTGTCTGGCCTACATTAAAAAGTATAAGGAAGGAAAGAAATAACAATTTTTAAACAACATACAAATATCCGATGAATATTCTTATAAAGCAAAACAAGGAACAGATAGGCATATACATTTAATTCATAGAAAAACCTTTCTCGACCACTTCACTTACCTGGGGAGTAGGATCAGCCCTGTCCTGATGGCTCAATGGCCGATGAAATCTTTGCACAAATACAAAAGGCTCAATTAGCTTGCGCCAACTTAAGCCACCTATGGCACCGCCGTGATATCCGATTGTCGCATGTACTGCATAGCAATCCAGTCTTTTCTGCTGTATAGCTGCGAAACGTGGCCATTGGAGGTGGGAGACATGAGAAGACTTCAAGTGTTTGACCACCACCATTTTCTTCGTAGTAAAAACCGTATTCCGTCGTGTCACCATGTGAGTAATGCAGAAGTCAGGTATAAAGTTTAGGGGAAAAAAGGTAAGTCCGTTGACGAGGTTATGAACCTTCATCGACTGAGATAACTGGCTGGGACACGTATTACGTATGCCTAGTCACCGATTGCCCCGTCACACAATGTTGACCGAAGTAGGTCCGGGCTGGAAAAAGATCCGAGGTGACCAGACTAAAACATGATACCAATGCATGAAATCTCTCACTGTTGGTTTCAGTCATGTGGGGCGATGCACACTACCCGGTTGGGGTCCACGGGACAATAGTAACCAGTAGCTGGAAACTCTAGGTGATATGGCTCAAAACAGATGTCAGTAGCGCAGACGTATCCTCACACACATTTTCCTCATCTTCACGATGCTATTCCTAATCTCATCATTCTCTCATCCTTCCTTCCTTTCTCTCTCTCTCTCTCTCTCTCTCTCTCTCAGTACTTTATATTTCTTTTGACTGAATTTTCTTATCTTCACCTTTCACCTCACTACCTTTCTACATGATATAGTAATATGAGGTGTGGCAACTCGGAGCGTTACTCAGTAATACCTGGTCCTATGTTGATATTGATGATGATAATGATCTCGTATTTAACCAGCGTCTTTTCTGTAGTAAACACAAGAAATTTTTGTTTTAAAAGAGGTAAAAGTTTCACAAGAAACCTGGTGAAAATATGCCACTGAAGCCTTCAGAAAAACGTATCAACGCTTTGCTGAAACCCTTGGAACCAAACATTTTAAAACCGATTATGATTAGTCTTAATTTGCCCTGGTAATATGTTGTTACTTTCGGTTATATCATTGTCTTACTCCCCTGTATCTAATGAGTTCTGATCGCACTTATTTTAATGTTTTCCGATTAATCATGGGCCTGCGTAGTTCCTAAATTGTTTATCAACCTCATTCCTTTCTATCATGGGATATTTTTATTGATTATTAAGAGTTACCGATCTAACCATGTATGAATGATCAATAACCTTGATAAAGATATGAAATTATAGGTGGAATGCAGCTGATGAGTATCCATGAAATAAAATGATACCAAATCTGTTTGTTTTTTCATTGCTTTGTACAAATTCGTCAAGAAAACGGAATCTAAGATATCCATGCAATTAAAGTGATCAACAAGGGCATATCGTCAAAATATTTTCTCCTAGCATCCAAAAATATACATAGAGTTTTCATGAAGTGCATTATAAATGATGATAGCTATGAAATTACATGGATCATTTGAAGCGATTAATGAACAATGCATTTTTTTATAATCATACAATGATATCATTTATATTTTGTCAACTTCACCTCACTTAATACCCACAAAATTCCCAGGTGACTGTTTCAAATCCCACCCACAAATCAGATTTTACATTCCACCTTCAATCATCACCAATTATCAGTAATAGAAAGTCTACTAAACTATATCTATCTGAAATAGTCAATTGGATCAAATCAATCATTGTAAAACAAGTAAATCATAACAGTATACTTTAAAATTAAAGAGGTAAATAGTCGACGAATAAGACAACTGAGTGAATATATAATAAATTGATTTGACAACTTTGTAAACGGAATTTTATATTGATCATTGAAAATGATTATGGAACAATCAGTAAATGAGAAAGTGATTAGTTGAACAATAAATATGTCAGTTATATTAGTGTATTAAATATCAGAGTGTTTGAAATAAATAATTCTAATATTTTATACAGATTTCTAGTCCAAATTTGTTTAGGGGAATAATCAAAATGTATAAAGTTAAACAGGCTAGGTCTAATTCTCTTGATTAAAACAATAAGAGGATGTAATTTATCTGACATATATGTCTACACATCAATATGAAATGGGTGTAACAACTAATCGATGTAATAAAGGGTTATGAATTGTTAGTTCGAAGAGAGAGAGAGAGAGTATATCCTGATCCCTCCTGATATTAAAGTTGAGATAATCATTTGGAATGATAAACGTTAGAAAGGAGGAATTAATCAGCCAGACAGTTGGAGGTGGCATCTGCTTCACTTCCAACTGCTTGAACTCACAGGTCATGACTTCTCAACAGAACTTTCGGAATATTCATCTAGTAGCATGTCAACAATCAACACTATACAGTAATCAATTTTAGTTTCGAGGTAGTATTCATCATGGACTGACATCAATTGGGGAACCATTAAAGTGAAGTGGATGCCAACCGAAGATCGTCTGTAATAGTCATACTATATCGCGAATCGACATAAGTAGAAAACTGTAGACCATTAAATTTAAACTCAGTGGCTAAATGGTTAATACGTTTCCTGTGACACCTGGAAATCTTGGGTTTGGTCCCTTGTGATGTAAGTGCATACTGCGTACTGAAGATTCCCATACTAGGGCAAAACAGTTGTCTACTACTCACAGGTTTTCAATGATTCTCCAAATCATATAAGTCCGTAACGAATATTACCTTCAAATATTAATATAGTTTACAGCCATTATTTCTGATAAATTAATCATCTGCAAACATCTTTCAATTGCAGATGGATTGGGCATACACTGAGAAGGCCGACTGGAGACATCATGAAGCAGGCCATCGAGTGGAACTCAGATGGGAAGTGATGAGTTGGGCATCCCAGCTGAGGGTGACATGGAGGAAATCGTGTCAGGTCAATTTATATATGAAAATTAAAGGTCAAATATAGTGAATATGAAAAGGTTGTGATACTAGTCTTAGTAATATAATCAGATTGCCAAGGATTACCAAGATAAATTAAGTGAAACAACAAATTGTTTTTGTACTCACAGAGGGGGATTAAGTTTACAAATGGCTAACGCTTCGGCAAACTTCAATATGCCCCCTGATTATTCCTGTATAATATCTTAAACGCTGTCTTCGTATTAACCTGTACTTATCAAAGTTTGTGTGTTAAACTGTTTTTCTAGCCATTTGGGTATGTGTTCACCCACCCTAGTCTGCATTGAACGATTACTCCTCCTTATGTATATGTGCCCACACATACATGTAAATCGGTAAACACCGTGGGATGTGATGTAATCATTTGTGGGAGGTTGAGGTTTGTAGTGAAGCCGGTGTTTTGTCATCTCAACAATGATAAGCTGAGCTGCATAGTATGTTTTACTGATAACAGATTTTAATCTCTGTCCAATGTCCTACTACTTGTTTTCCCTCTGTATGGTACTTTAAGAAATGTGTTTTTCTTCGGGACCGAGGAAACTATAGGCTTTGGGGTCAGTTGTTTTTTTACAATGGTTGACAAACTGTAATGGATAACCGTTTTCCATGAGAGTGTCTGTCAGCAATTTATTCTCACCATCCATTGTCTCAGATGTACAAATACGTTGGGTTCCATTCAACAAGCATATTACCAAGCCTCTCTTATATTTCATCGAACAAAAACTATAGGAATTCAATACTGTCCTGTCCAAGTAGGCTTTCTATATATTGATCATCTGATAGATCCATCTTCCCTCTGGCACAAGAGTATATCAAGAAATGCAAGTTGATGGTCTTTTTCTTCCTCACATATCAGACTGATATGATCTCGTTTAAGATATTATACAGGAATAATCAAGGGGCATATTGAAGTTTCCCGAAGCGTTAGCCATTCGTAAACTTAATCCCCCGCCGTGAGTACAAAAACAATTTGTTGTTTCACTTAATTTATCTTGGTAATCCTTGGCAATCTGATTATATTACTAAGACTAGTATCACAACCTTTTCATATTCGACAAAACAATAAGAAGACGTAAATTGTCAGAACCGTGTAATGTATTTGCGCAACACATTTCGAACTATCTGATCACACACGTACTTGTCATAGGTATTTATATAAAAACTCATGAAGATAAGGGGTGAGAAAATAAAAAGGGGTCAGGTAGGAAGGCTGACTTAAAGGCCGAATAACAATGAAAATCAATAGGGCGAAAAAATAATAGTACATCGAACTTGGTTTTTCAATAGTTGAATTTACCAAGGAAGGTTTAATGTGACAACAAATTGTTTATGAATACATAAAGGTGGTTTAAACTTCCTAATAGCTAAGGCTTCAACAAATTTCAGGATCCCTCCCCAACATGTTTTGTAAATAGGTGTAAAGGAAGTAGCCACATCAATCTTGTGACCTGTCTCAACGATATGTTTAGCGATCGAAGAGCTTGGACGTTTGCTACCAACATTTATAGGTTCAGGTGATTTGATTTGCTTCTGAAGCCACTTTGGAATATGTTCCGAGGCCCTTACTTGCATGGATCTATTAGTCCTCCCTATGTATGTGTCACCACACGTACATTTGAATTGGTAGATACAATGGGATGTGACATTATCGTTCACATGCTGTGGGGGTTTGGGGGAATATAAGGGCTTCGTGGTTTCGATTACTCGAACCCTGGCTGCATAATAAGTCCTTCTAACAGCAGCGTTGAGTCTCTGCTTAAGGATTGCACTCTGAGAGTCACCTTTGTACGGAAGGCTGATGAAGACATCCTTCTTTGGGACTGACTGCAGTTCTAGTTTTGACGCTCTGCTGATTTTGTTCTGCCTGATAAATGTTGATGGATAGTTATTTTCCAACAAAATATCGGT